CTCCGTTCTGCCACATCTGCAAAACTTCAGGACACCCGCGTACACACTGCCCAGATCGTCAATAGTCAACAACCCCACAGCGGCAACTTCGACCTTCAAGCAGCCAAATCGCCTCAACGCAAGCAAATCCCACGACCCAGATTCAAGCCTCAACGACTTCAACGGGACAACCTGCACAAGGAGCAAGAAACATCGTCAGCTGCATGGCAAAGCTGAGTGACTCCTGCATCACCGAGTCACCACCACACTACTCACCGGAAGAACAACTCGACGAAACCACACCTCGCCGCGAGTCACTTCAGCCGAACCCGACATACGCCGCCATCGCCCAAAGCGAACCATCCGGAAAAGACACATGGTTCTTGGACAGTTGCTGCGGACAGCACATGTGCTCCTCGGGACGCTTCGTTCAACGAGAACACCAACTTCAACGCGAAGTTGTCATTACAGTCGCCAACAATCAGAACCTGCGAACACGACGACAAGGCGTAGTTCAACTTCAGTCAAGGGAAACAAACGTTATACTGCAGATGTCAAAAGTACTAATCGCAGAGGGACTCGGCTACAACTTACTGAGCGTCAGTCAGCTAATGGCGAAAGGGATTCACCTCGAAGCAGACAGCACCACCCAAGAATTCAAGCTGTATCATGGGAGAAGAGGACTTTACATCGGCAAGGCGGTCCTCAAGAACAACGTCTTCGTTCTTGATTTCGTTCCTGATCTTGGCACCGCCGACAGCGACGCCATCGTTAACTTCACCAACTGGACACACCCTCCAGACCTTGATCCAGACTCCAGTCCAGAAGGCTTCTGGTACTCACACACCATCCCTGAAGCAGAAAGAACAAGGGCGTTAGCAACAATTCAGACAACATCGGCAGCAGCAGAGACAACATCGGCAGCAGCAGAGACAACATCGGCAGCAGCAGAGACAACATCGGCAGCAGCAGAGACAACATCGGCAGTAGCAGAACCATTAACGGCAGCAGCAGGAACGTCAACACCAATTGCTGGTCCTTTAACGACACCGCTCCTCATCGACGACACACCACCGACACCCGCGCAACAACTACACCCAGCACCACAAGAAGTTCATCGTAGCGCCAACTTCACCGCCAACTTCTACTCCAACTTCGATATGTACCGACGATCACCCGGACATCGCGCCGACGAAAACACCTGGCACGCAAGGATGGGACACCCAAGCAACACAGTATTAAACAATACGATAAGAGCAGGAGTACTCGACAAGGACTCACTCCTACTGACCGACGGACGAGAACTTCAACGAGTACGCGGAACGTGCTTCACCTGCCCTGAAGGTGACTTACCACATCGACCGTTTGCGTCTCATCACAACCCGAGCGCACCCGCGTACGCACCACTCGAGAAGGTGTATAGCGACATCCTGTACAATCAGGAACCAGGACAAGCAATATACAACTATACAATCACCCTCATCGACGCCGCCACCCGTTACGTCTGGCACCTAAACCTCCCTAGCCGCGACATGGCATTTGCAGCTTTCGATGCCTGGCTACCAGTAGCAGAGAGAGAATCGGGCGTGAAACTGAAAAGCTTCCAGTCAGACGGAGGAGGAGAATACACCTCTCAGCGATTCAAGCAGTACCTGGCGGAAAGGGGAATCAAGCGGCTCGTCTCCCTTCCCTACGCCCATCAGCAGCAAGGTGTAGCAGAAAGAATGAACATGACCTTGCAGAACAGCATGCGCAAACTGTTACGTGGCATGCGGCTACCCAACCACCAGTGGCCTGCGGCAATGGATCACGCCGTCATGCTGCACAACTTGCTCTCGTCATCATCGCTTCCAAACAACGCATCACCGCATCTGCTATGGACAGGAAAACAGGGCAGCACAAAAATGTTACGAGTATTCGGATGCATGGTACAGTACCGACCCCCAGCAGCACGAGCGGGCCGATTTTCTCAACGAGCACAGTGGGGACTACACCTGGGAATCGAAAAGAACTACAACGTGTGGAAAATCTTCGACGTCCATTCCAAGGAAACAGTAGCAACACGTGATGTAATTTTCTACGAACGACTCACGCTCCAGACATACCTTGCCAACCTGCAAGAAAACCAGGATCCCACAGGTGGTTTTCGCGGTGACCGAGCCTTCGCCTCAGCAACAGACGAAGCTGACTGGGACGAGCAGAATGTGGACAACGCATCAGAAGAAGCCGGACCTCTTCCGTTCTGCTCCGTGGACGTTCCCATGGACGAAGATAACCCTCGCGAAAGTGTCAACGCCAAAACCTTCTACCATTTCGCCGACAACTGTTACGTAACACCTGCGACAGTCAACACCAACGAAGCAGAACGAGTAGGACCCAACTTCATACCTGATCCAGAAGCGGGAGATGAAGCAGCTTATCCCGAGGACGCAAATCTTCCTCGCTACTCACAGAGTGGACTGCAAATTCTCGGACTCGTCACCGCAGTCCACGGCACCGCCATTCCTAAAGAGCCTGCGACGGTTCAACAGGCTCTGGGGGGGGAGCATAAGGAAAAATGGCGCGAAGCCATGGACAAGGAGCTGAAGGCACTGGAGGAACGCAACACGTGGAAAGGGGTTCCTATCGGCGTGGCACGGAACAAGACAGTGCTCACCGGGAAGTGGGTCTTCCGTGTGAAGACAAAGGCCGACGGCACCATTGACAAATTTAAGGCTCGCTGGGTTGTACGCGGCTTCGACCAAGAACACGGACGCGACTTCACCGAAACTTTCGCTCCGGTTAGCCGCCACACCTCACTACGCATTCTCCTCGCAATCGCCGCCATGAAGAAGAAGAAGCTGCGACAAATTGACGTCGCGAACGCGTTTCTCTACGCACCTGTTGATGCAGAAATTTTCGTCGAGCTACCGCACGGCTCCCACAGAGAACCCAACCAAGTCTGCCAGCTACTCAAGTCACTCTACGGCATCAAGCAGGCTCCGCGACTGTGGCAACAGTACCTGCACACTCGCCTCATCCGCATCGGCTTCAAGCAACTACCGCACGATCAAGGCATGTACCGGCTCACAAAAAACGACGACTACATCCTACTAATCGTCTACGTGGACGATCTCCTTTACATCGGCTCGAATGACGGCATCACTACCTGGTTCGAAGGGGAGCTGCAGCGAGATCTCACGCTCACAGTTTCATCTACCGTCACTCAGTATCTCGGCCTCAACATCCGGGAAGAGGAGGACGCGATCTACCTCAGCGCCGAGAAATATGCCGACACCATCGCCAAACGCTTTACGCTCACACCGACAGCCATCTCCACGCCATACCGCTACACAGCAGGGAACGACAAAGGAAGCTCCGCTCTACTCAAGCCCGCCGGTATACGAGACTACCAGAAGAAGCTGGGATGTCTTCTCTTCGCAGCCGTCACCTGTCGCCCTGACCTCTCATACTCCGCAAGCCAGCTCGCCACCTACCTCAAGAAGCCTGAAGCAGAACATCTGGCGGAGCTCGACCGCGCTCTTCACTACTTCGTCAGCACCCCAACGATCGGCCTAACTTACTACAAGAACGCAACCACACCGACTAAGTTAATCGGCTACGTCGACGCTGATCACGCTGGCGACTCTGACAATAGGCGCTCCCGCACCGGTTACATCTACCGCCTCGAACCTATCGGACCTATCTCTTGGCAGTCGAGCAAGCAGGAATTAATTGCCCTCTCGTCAGCTGAAGCAGAATATATTGCACTCTGCTCAGCCACCAAGGAAGGACTCTATCTTCGCGAGCTGCTGGAAGAAGCGAAGTTAGCCGAGTTACCCAACTTTACCCTGTTCTGCGACAACCAGTCAGCAATTCGCATCGCCAACAAGAACGGCTTCGCAAACAGGACGAAACACATCGCCCTGCGATATTTCTTCGTGAAGGATGAGATCGAGAAGGGAAGGCTCGAACTGTCATACTGTCCCACGTCTGAGATGGCAGCTGACTACCTGACCAAGAAGCTCGGAAAGCAGAAGTTCGAATACTGCATGTTGCTGACTGGACAGAGCCACGTCAGCGACACTCCAGAAGCGAAGGGGAGTGTTGGAAACAACTGATTTAGGCGCCTCTGTCGTGTCGAAACACCAAGACAGAAGCGAAGAAGCTCGTATCGAAATATCGGTGAGTCAACCCTCGGAGGTTGAATAACTGTTGGAGGTTACGCGAAAGTCAAAGGTCAGCGACCTTTGACCCGACAAATGCAGCGCGACAGCAAGGACAACCAACTGTCTCGATACTGAGCAGTTGCCCGAGTCGACACTGTATCGAACCGCAACAGCAACAGTAAAACAGTTAACTGTATCTCTTCATATTCCTTTGTATTCTTATAAAAGCTTGTATCTCTTTTATTATTATCAACTTACTTTGCCCTCACATACTAGTGCAAGGTGGTTCACAACTCTTTAATTAACGCTTCCGCTACTACACCAACTCTACCCAGAGTTCACCCCTGCAAAGATCCTAAGGGGGCTGTTCAGCCCAACAGAAAAAAGGCTGAAATATCAGAGTTTTTTTGGCAAATCAGAGAAATTTCTCTGACTTCTGGGGGCCTGACTTATACGCGAAAATGTGCTAACGGTAACGCGGTGCGTGCGAGCTAGCTAGTGCTACACTGGCGCGAGGTTCGGGCTAGTCCCGAAGCGTAGGCCGACTCGGCTGCTCCAGCAGTGCGAGGTTTGGTGAAACAGTGCGCGCGAAGTTGGCAAAGCCCCGTTAGCAGTAACGGGCGAACAGCGGCTGCTGCTGTATGCGATGTGGCAGTCGCGGTAAGGAATAGCGAGAAAATTCCTCACATGGAGACAAATAATACTTAGCCATGTTCACTTGTATGTGCTTTCAAGGTCCTGTGTTCATACTTGTCTTCAAGTGAAGTTTGTTGTGAACTAGATAATCCACTTCTGCCTCTACCTATTCGAAATGGTAATACATACAATTGAATGGTAATATTGAGTTTCTGTCTTCCACTAGTGCACCGTAGCTCACTTAATCTTGTACATGTCAGGCTCGAAATGTGTAGGCTTTGACGGCTTACCCATCTCAATCCCACAATATGCAAAGACGAAGAGAACTGTGAAGCCAATATAATATTCCGACTGCACAATAGGGTGGAAATGGAATCACGAGGATGGAATAAGTACCTTATGTATAACCGGACAGAAGTGGAATTGAAGTGCATAGGATAATGGAAACACTTACTGGGAGGCCAAATGCAACACCAGCGAAGAATGCTGGAAGAAACGCCCATGCAAGTCCCTCTGCAAGTCATAAAAAAATGAGCAGAATTAGAAGCATGAAGGAAACACAAAGTACAACGATCAGAGACCAAGCCCCTGTGCCATTGCATGAACAGCGTCATCTCATACGCCATCCCAAGCCCTCAAATTCCACCCACAAATGCACCACCCATTGTACCCCCTTCTCCCCTTCCTTCTCTGAACTCCCCCCCACCCCCCCTTTTTACCTCCCCCGCATAACCCAACCCTCCCTTCCATCTCCTTTCCCCCGTTCCTAACGCACTTTGTTCAGTTGAAACAGGGCCACCGGCCTCCTTGAGGGAGGCGTCGACGTTACTCCAGAACTCGCCTGAAAGAAATCGAGCGCATAGAAAGATCGCCGGATAGAAACAAACGGCAGAGTGAATTCTTGAAGTCCGTCGAAAAGTATAGACGAAACAAAGGGAACCGGGCATTAGAGAGGGTTGTTACTCAGCTAAGGGGGCACCCAAGAGAGGAAAACCGAGAAACCACAAGGAAGCTGGGAACGACTTAAACAGAACGAGGCGAATTGTAGAATTGCCATTGAAAGCAGAAACATCGGTGGCCTTGGCTGTCCACAGCACTGAGTGGTGCAACATTGATTGTGCACATGTTAGCATCAACGTACCATCATCGCCCTCGTGGTAAGAATGAGCACCATCCACCTTGCCGTACTTGAAGCTCCCATCCTGCACGTCGGATGAAGAAACGATAGTCAACAGTTAACGCGACCGAATGGCATTAGAAGCGAGGGTTGTAAATGCGGGTTTCGGCTTCGGTTTCGGTTTCGATTAAGGCTTGTAAATGCGCTGTAATGAGTAAAACCGTGAAGGAAGGTGGGTTGCAATATAAGTCTGCTCTAAAAGCTGCAGTTCCGCACTACTTGAGCAGTTCTGCATGATCAGATCGCCATGAACCGGAACGTGGTTACTAATTTCGTCAAGCACTTTTTTGTAGGCTGCATCTAACATCCTGACTTTGTTCGGATGCTGTTCGACCAGGTATGGGTAACCCTAATTCCTGCATCGCAGTAAACAACTCCGAATGTACGAAAAGGCGCACCTGCTGACTCTCCTCGCCAGCAGTTAGCCATGCCGCCCGTGACTCCTCGCTCAGGTCGGGCTCAACACCCCCAGCATTGCCAGCCATGGCGACGATTTGCAGCCTGGACACCGTCGCCTTCTGACGGAAACCAGACGGCCGAGTTGTGAGAGCCACGGTGTTGCGTTGAAAGGTGGATTTGGCATCCTGGATCAACGCAAGCGAGGAAACGCCGGTGCCGGCGAGTAGCGATGTGCAAGACGCCATGGCTACGATGGCTGATAGGCACCACAAGCGTCTGTTCTTCCTAAAAAACACGGTAGGAAGGATCTGATAGGCGGGTGATGTTTGGCTCTATGACAGACTGTGACGAAGACGAGCTGTATTCGTCGCAGCATGTGGTAACTCTCGCTTAGGGTATGGATGCCCTCAAACACTCCCTTGGGCCGAAAGTGTGTCGAGGAAGATCTTCCGTCGCGGGTGACTTGCAACGTAAAAGGCATGGTGGTGGTTCAGTGGGTTATCCGACGTGGCAATCACAGCGACACAGCTGGAGCCGTCCTTCTCAAGGTGAAACAAATACACCCGAAATACGGGGAAAGTGCGTGTGTCCGAAATACGATATATAATGCTTTACGTGGAGGAACTACATGAAACCAAATGAAAATGTTGGTGAGGGAATTCTCTTTAGCGACAATCCCATCTCACACATCCTTCAACAACGCAACTGGTCAGCGGATAGGGCCCCGGATAGCGTGGAAAACTTGAAATTCCTCGAGCAACCAGCAGCCGCCAGCTGGACACCTCGGTGTTCCCCAACGCGCGCTCTGACCCCCACCTCACCCAACCACAGCGCCACGCAATTCGCGCAATTCTCTGAGGATTGCCATCCCGCACTCCGAAGTAGGAGCTCCATACCCGCTAAGAACATTTGTGCTCTTTTGCCTGCTGGAGTTTATCAGTTGCGCCAGAACCCTTTTACAGGATTCTGTTGCTCCTAGCTCCTTCACTACCATTTCAGTGCAGTTTTATCTCAGCTCTAGAGCTTGCAAGCTCTAGTTCTGCAAGGATCGCCAGCATCGGTGGCCATTAGACACTCGAATATTTGTAATTCATTCTGAAATCAGAAGATATGGCCACCTCATTGGTCAAGACTCAGGCCACGTTCCTTGGCTCTGTACGATCCGCCGAATTTGAGGGGTTGAGGAAGACCACGACGTCGCAAAATGTCGCAGCTGTCGCCCCTAAGAAGGCTCAACGGTCTAGCATCGTCAAGGCCGTCGCTTCGACAGACGTGAAGACAGCCATCGTCAGGATTGGAACCCGTGGCAGGTGCGAATTAGTAAATGCCAGCGATTTGTACAATCTGTATAAACCGACCTTCGTTCAGACTTGTTGAATGGCGTATCCACCCGCCTCTCCCCTCGATGCCATTTCCATTAACTCCGTTAGAATGCAGTGGGCAGTTTTCGCCACAAGCGCTGAGTATGTTCCTTTTGCTCTTCTCCCTTGCCAGTCCTCTGGCCCTTGCACAGGCCTACCAGACCCGTGACAAGCTCAAGGCTGCTTACCCGGAGCTGGCCGAGGAGGGTGCTGTGGAAATCGTGATCATCAAGACCACCGGCGATAAGATCCTGAACCAGCCTCTCGCCGACATTGGCGGAAAGGGTCTGTTCACCAAGGAGGTCGACGATGCTCTTCTGGGCGGAGCGGTCGACATTGCCGTGCACTCCATGAAGGATGTGCCAACATACCTTCCGGAGGGGACTATCCTCCCTTGCAATCTTCCGCGTGAGGATGTGCGAGATGCGTTCATCTCTCTCACCGCCAAGTCCCTGGCTGAGCTTCCTGCTGGCAGCGTTATTGGCAGTGCATCCCTCCGCCGGCAGTCGCAAATCCTCCACCGCTACCCTAGCATGAAGGTACGTCGCATTTTGCTGATTTAATTCTCCACCACGTATAGATATAGTGCAATTTGCCTGGTGTGGTTGTACTCCAGTCTTCTAGAGTAGGTCAAGTAACGGAGAAAATGAGCTCGTGAAATTCTATTTTTATTTACCCTCCTGCAGGTGGTGAATTTCCGCGGTAACGTGCAAACCCGTCTGCGGAAGCTGAACGAAGGGGCTGTGCAAGCCACTCTGCTGGCCCTGGCTGGTCTGAAGAGGTTGAACATGACGGAGCACGTGACCGCCATCCTTTCCACAGAAGACATGCTTCCAGCCATCGCTCAGGGCGCCATTGGCATCGCCTGCCGCACTGGCGACACCAAAATGGTATGTCCTCGCATTCAATCGCTAAGCATGAGGGGTCCTGTCTATGTTGGATGGGGTGGCGCCTGGCATAGGGAATGAACTAATGACTTCAAGGCTAGCTTGAGGGAGAAAATCGAGAGAACGGAGTATACTAGTTTGTGGTTTGACGTTTTCTGGCCATAGGTTAACACAGCACTGTTGTGAATATCATTTCTGGCAGGAGGAATACCTGGCTACCCTGAACCACGAGGACACGCGCTTGGCTGTGTGTTGTGAGCGTGCCTTCCTTACCACGCTGGATGGCTCATGCCGCACGCCCATTGCTGGTCTGGCGCAGCGCGATGCCAACGGCGGCTGCTCCTTCCGGGGTCTTGTCGCCTCGCCCGACGGCAAGAGAAGTGAGCGCTTCTTACTCTTGCCTTGTTCGACTGCTTCAATTTATCGCTGGTTTTTTACTTCTTCTTCCTCCCCACCTCCAGTATGTCTCTCTTGCTCTCACGCACTGCAAATTCTTCAAGTGTCCCGTATTCTTTGCATTCCAGCCACTCAATTCATTCATTGCCTTATGACCTGTTACTGCTCCTCCCCCACTCAAACATCCTCGTTCGGTGGGCATTCGTTAAGGACGGTTGCACTAAACAAATGTCCGTGCCTTCTGTCCTTCCCGATTTTTTGCCCATTTAGTCCTTGAGACATCGAGGTCGGGATCTTACAGCTACAGTGAAATGATGGAGATGGGTATTGATGCTGGCAAGGAGTTGCTCTCTTCTGCTGGACCAGAGTTCTTCAACTGGAGCTAGATGCCTTTCCATGGAATCAGTATGGTCAAAACAGTAAATGCCAGGACGGCCACTTATTTTTGCCTGTGCTAGTATATTGCTTTCTTGATGTATTGCCTGAAAGATCCACAATTTTCCACTTTAGAACTGAGCGCACTATTGCACATCCATGCTCATGATTGGTTGCGGTTTACTAGCAATGCTGTCTCTAAAGAAGCTGATAGAGCGGAAAGAATGCGTGGGCTGTTCAAGGGAGGCAGAAAGCCACTGTAAGCAATCATGGTGGCCATCAGAGCAGCTGATCCAGCCTGTAGAAATTGTCCATTCCTAACACTGGGGAGTGCTTTAGTCAGCGCAGGTAGGGCTGGAATCACGGAAGTGAGGAAACTTGTCAGTGTGGTTGAAATCTCAGCATCACTGCCTTCATCACCAGCAACCATAGCTTGAAATGCCACTGGTAATGCACTGGTAATGGCCCGGAATGAGGAGGCCAAGTCAAACGACGTGATGTTTGACAACACAGGTCTCTGCCTGGGATCTTCTGGGTCGTGGCCCACTGTTACGTTCATCTCCCCTCGTGCATAGAAGTTGAAGGATATAGCAAGGGATGAGTAAAGGCTTGGGTCCGCCAAGAGCAATGCGTCTGGGAGTAGTATGGATGGTAGAAGCTGTGCAGCTTGTGAAGGTAGCATGATTCCACCTGCGAAGTCATCCTCTTGACCTGTCTCCAGACGAACAATAAATCCTGCAAGTGCGGAATCGGCGAATGTTAGTGGTCCTCCCTGTGGAACTGAATTGCACAAACAGGCAATGTGTTTACTTGTCGGATTGGCTTGAAGAGCTTCAATGCTCGCAATGCTTAGAGGAACGACTCCAGCAAATGCAAGGCCCGTTGGATTTGACGCCACGAAAGTGTTGTTTATAAGGAAAGATGCAATCGATTCGCCTTCATCACCCTGAATAACAGCGCGACCTGGAACGCTGGAGGTAAAAGAAAAAGCAGATGATGAGAAATCAAGATTGCATGGCATCTCGTAGGATATATTGCGCTAACCACTTACACTTTAGAAAGCAGGTCGGAGATGAACATAGTCATGGAGCTCATGTTAGGATCGACGAGTAGAAACGCAACTCCATGTTTTTCATCTCCGACGCTCACGCTCCTGTTGCCATTGGGACTCGTCTCAGCTCCAGTCTTCAAGAGTGCAATGCGTAATATTTTTTGCCTCCAATTTGTATCGGCATTCAACCGACGGAGCGAGAGGGCGTGACACTTCTGAATTGCAGCGCTACTGGTCGAATAGCCAAGCAAAAGGACCGTCAAGAATAGGACGAAGAGCGGTCGTTTCGTCAGTGACAAGGGCCACATTGCCGCGATGAATTGTTAAACTGGGACCCACATAGACAAGGATTACCATCGATTTCATACTCCATTGTAATGCGGGAACGGCGACCAGGTAGGACATTCAGCGGCGAAACCGAGATTGAGTGCCAAAAACCGAAGTTGTGCTTGTGAATCCGTGACGACCAAGAAGTAGGGAGAGCTGTCAAAATTGGGTGCTGCTGACTGAAAGTCTCGCCTTCAGCAATACCCACATTTGAGGCACGACCCACATTTGACGCCGATACGTTTCGAGTAAGCAAAACCTTATTGTTGACATATAGACTACACTTACGGAACCATACAAATATTTGAGTTCGACGTTTGTGGAATACAACATGCGAATCAAGTATTTCTACCCTTGCAAGTATTCGGCGTCCGCAAGAATATTGACAACGGTAGATATCACTTGGCTTGAATCATCCGCGTCTTGTTCAACATTCTGTCAAAAGTTCAACACGAAACAAAATGGCGCCACTGAATATAAAACCATCATGCAGTGTCGATTGTCAAAGCGCTTCATACAAGAGAAGGGAAAAAAAATGTAAGATAACCCGCCCTTGTGGTGATATATGGCCACACTCACTTGAGATTGAAGGATATGTCGGCGAAGGATAGTGTCAAACGACCCGCGGATGGCCTTGAAGAGAACAGCAGTCTGTGCCGGAGCAACGAGGTCCAACCAACCATCCACTGACACTCGCGCTCTCTGCTCAAGCTCAAACAGAAAATTAGGGAGAGAAAATCAGCATAACCATGAGATGGTGATATCTTTAAGTGGAAAACATCACCTTATCAAATGTCACAATTGGTTGGTACAATAAGGGTTGAGTCAACATCAGTGGGTGCGGTGTGGAGAATACACTTCACCTGATGGTGGACCATGATTGGTCCGCCAAACAGAAGAATGGCTGCTGGAGAAACAACAGTGCAGTCGCGGATATACACTCGAGATGTCTTGACCTGCAAGCACAATCAAAACGATGGTGAAACTTATCGGATAGTTGGAATAATAACAAGAAAAAGAATTGATCATTTTCACTGTACTTACGTAATATGCCATTACCTTTTCATGGAAGACAAGGAAGGGAGCGCGGAACACCGAGACAGCTTCGTTGACCGAAGACGGGTGGATCGCCACCTCAGCCCCTGTAGCAGTGACCCATCGCGGCCGCCCAGACGCCCCTGCCACGTGTGCGAGGTCTGACGCGTGTGAACAGTGCGCAGCTTCGATAGAGTCACGTGCCATCATTGCAACGTTGGGGTAGAGGCCAGCACAGAGAACAGCCTGGGGATTTGGGATGGAGTGGGTAAGGGGGGGGGGTGGGGGGATGGAGAAGGAAGAGGGGTGGGTGGCGAAAGGAGGGGGAGAGGGTGACTATGAATGACAATCAGGGAGTGCTAATGGGATTTTCATTATAGTCACGTGCAAGCCATCATTTCCATCAAGTTCACATTGCCATTACTGCCATACTTGCCATCATAGGCCCAACGGGATGGATGACAAGCACAGCACACAGGTTGACGCAAGAGAAGGCACGGGGAAGACAGGAAGACGCAAGAGCAGTGAGAAATGGGAGTACAGAAGAGACCAACTTGCCTCTACTCCCCTCATTTCAACAATTGATTGCTTGTTGTACCCCCTTGATTGATGCCACTCACCTTCACAGCAGGCGCACTCATAGAGCATCGGTTCCAGAGCTGGGTGGACTCATCCAGCCAATCAAAACCCTGCACTTGGCGTTAGGGAGAAAAGGCAAAACGGAAAATGTGACAGGCATGGGGAGATGGGTGAAAGGCATTGGCTTGCTGGGATGCCTTTGAAAGCTGATCCCCATGAGAAGGCGAGCAAACTGCACACAGAAACCTCACTTTCATCTCATGTCTCGCCTGTGAAATCAACTGCCCAGCTTACCCTGCTCGCAGGCGCCTTGCTGGGCTGCCGTAGGAAGCCAATGTCCATGAGCAGTCGAGCAAACTGCACTCTCATGTCCCTGGGAGTGCGTCCGAGCGGGGAGTGGGTCCGAAAGGGGAGAGAGGAGCGTAGTTTTGAGGAGTTTAGAGAAGGACGGGAAGAAACGGCAGCTTGTGTGCCGATCAACAGCCGGAAATTATGGAAGGATGCGGGATTCAAGGGGACAGTCAAGCTGCAAGAGCACAGTCTAGAGCCAAGAGCACACACCGCAGCATGAGCAGAGCAGGAATGCTGAGGTGATGTTTTTGACAGAACTCCCTTGCTGCCCTGCTGCCCCTCTGTTGCTCCATTGGACACACACATGGGAGAGAATGGGGTGGAGAAGAGGAGCGAGAGATGAATGAAGGAGTGAGAAGATTAGTGAGGGATAAGTGCTTGTGGCAGAACAATCTCCTTGGCATGGTGATGCCCTTTGACACTCTCTGACGCTCTCTCATTCTCTCCCACGCCCTGTTACAAACGGAACATCAAATGGAACATAAGAATGTGTTTTGAGTCGACTCAAAACTCCGACGCCCCATCATTCTCTCTCATGCCCTGTTAAAAACTCCATCGGATCAGGTTGGAATGTAAGAATTCGCCTTTTATCAAGACCACCAGATCCACCTGAAGAACTGGCACACCCACCTAGAAACCCAGCAGACCCACCAGGAAACCTACCTACAATCTGCACGGCACGGCACACGGTGCTCAAGTTCCCGATCTGACGTTCAAGACTTAATGGACACTGACCGACAGAGTTGAGCCGGCCGGCTCTGATTCACGTCAACTCTGGCTACGTCAGGTGTGGGATTTGAGTCTGGGGCTGGAAGCGTTCTTTCCACTGCTATACGTCGCCCCACAAACCACAGCCACTGGGGGTGCTGTTGCCCTACGGAATTGGGCTGTCACCCTTTCTTCACAAGGCACAGCCGAATCCCTTAAAGAAACAACACGCACAGAGGTTGCGCCATGTAAGGCGACGTGTGGCAGTGGAAAAGCGCTTCCGGCCCAAGACTCAAATCCCACCCTTGACTTAGCCAGAGGTGACGCGAACCAGAGCTGGCCGGCTCGACTCTGTCAATCGGTGTCTATTCAGACATGAACATTAGATTGGGAACTTGAGCACCAAGTGCCGTGACGCGCAGATTCCACCCACCCCGTCCACCCACATGTAGAGCCAGCAGACCCATCCGGACAGCCAGCACCCAGCCGTTAAATGCTGAGGCCATAGCAAGATGGTCGGATTGCTGCCACCATGCCATGTTACTTTTTCAGACACCTCAAGTCCGCGTGGAATGAGACGACTTTGAGGCGACTCAGGAACCACCACCCACATGGAGAGCCAGCACACCCACATGGAGAGCCAGCACACCCACACGGAGAGCCAGCACACCCACCTGAAGAGCCAGCACACCCACATGGAGAGCCAGCACACCCACATGGAGAGCCAGCACACCCACATGGAGAGCCAGCACACCCACCTGAAGAGCCAGCACACCCACATGGAGAGCCAGCACACCCACCTGAAGAGCCAGCACACCCACCTGAAGAGCCAGCACCCAGCCGTTGAAGGCTGAGGCCATAGCGAGATGGTCGGACTGCTGCCCCCGTGCCATGTTCCATGCCCTGTCGTTCCCACTCGCACCTGCTCCTCCCTCTCCCTTCCCCCCTGCAGTCTCTGTTTCTACCTTTGACTCCCAGCCCCCTTCATCCTCCTCCTCATCCTCACTATCGCCATCATCCCAGCTCCCCTTCTCTCCCTGCCTGCCTCCTGCTGCTTCCTGTGAGCTTGCATCGGGGTTGGCCTCCCGAGCTTTGGCCACAAGCGCTTGCCTTGCCCTGGCAGCTGCTTTACGCTGAGAAACACAAGCAGAAAAAAAAGGCAGAAAGGAGGAGAAAGGGAGAGAAGGGCAGCGAGGAGGAGAATGGCAGAGCAGGTGGGCGGGCAGTGGGGTTAAGTGGGTGGGAGAGGAGTGGAGAGGTGTGGATTAGAGTGGAGCGGAGTGAAAAGGCCTTCACCTGCACTTGAAAATACTCAAGAGAACTCACATCGTGGAAGGAGGAGGAGAAGGGGGAGCGGTAGCTGAGGCAGGCAGCGATGGTGAGGGCCGTGCTGAGGCACCCCATGACTGCCCCGTATATCATCATCTGCAAGGGTGGGGTGCGGTGGGATGTGGATTATGGTCACAGGCAACCATTATAGGGGTGGAGAGCGGTAGCTGAGGCAGGCAGCAATGGTGAGGGCCATGCTGAGAAACCCCATGACTGCGCCGTAAATTATCATCTGCCAGGGCGGTGTGCGGTGGGGTGCGGTGAAATGAGGTGGGACGGGGTGGGTCGAGGTGGGTTGACAGCACGGTCACAGGCAAGCATCACAGGGGTGGGAGCGGTAGCTGAGGCAGGCAGCAATGGTGAGCGCCATGCTGAGACACCACCATGACTGTCACATTACTGTCACTACCACACACCCGACCTTGGCTATGTGCACGTCAACAAGCAGAGCAGCAAGGGAGGTATGTGGTGCCGTGCACTGCGAGCTCCTCCCTCTCGTCCATTGCTCCCCTCTTCACGTCACCACAACACTCACGTTCCCCAAGCCCATCCACCTTGCCCATACTCACTCACCTTCCCTATGCGCACGTCAACCGGCAAGGCAGCCAAGTGTGTGCCGAGAGCTGTGAGCTCCTCCCTCTCGTCCACTGCCCCCACTTCCCTCAGAGTCTTCATCGCACTCCTCACCGCCTCCTCTTTGGGCGGCTCTATGGCCTGCAGTGAGTGCAGCAGCAGAAAAAGGTGGTGGATACGGAAGAGTTCATTCAGATCGAAGGAACTGGGCGCATCTCTCCTCTCAGATGCAGTTCGACTTGGAAAGCCTTCTTTTTACCTTGCTGGGGAACTATGCTGGCGTGACCAGACCCAGCAGCTTGATTGATATCCAAGCACAGCTCCAATAACTTCTAGCCCTTAACTAAGCATCATTGCTCTCACCTTGCTGAGGAACTGCGCTGGCGTGCCCAGGTCCAGCAGCTTGATCTGCAGGCACAGCTCCACCAGAGGCACTCGCTGAATCTCCGGTTGCTATTGGGGGGCAGGGCGAGCGGAAGGGAGGGAGAGGGCGAGGAAAGGGGAGGGGAGGAGAAAGGAGAAGGGAAACAGTGAGAGCATAGGGATGAGACTAAGCAGCTTGATATGCAGGCACAGCAGCACCAGAGGCACTTGCTGAATCTCCGGTTGCTGTTGAGGGGGAGGTGGAAGCAGAAAGGCGGGGAGGCTAAGAGGAATGAGCAGACAGATGCATGGGAACGTGCCCCATCCAGCAGCTTGAACGCATCGCATGATAACTTCGAATCTTTGAATCCTGCCCATGAGAGCAGGTGAAGAGGGCAAACGAAGTACTTCCCTTCCTGTCTCCATTCTCTGCCCCACCAGCATCTCCCCTCCTCCCATTCATGGGACAGCAAGGCTACCCCCCTGGTAAGCCCGATGCCCCATGCGGAATTTCCTCTGACCCACCTGAAACGGCCGCATGATGGTTTCAAAGCGGTGGCGGGTAAAGAGAGCAAAGTACCGCCCTGCCTGCACCCGCCCCGCCCTGCCTGCCCTCTGCCTCACGTTGGCCTTGGCCACCCATGCCTCCACCAGACTGGTCATCCCCTGTGATGTATGAACAGTGGGAGGAGTGGGAATGGTGGGAGAAGTGGGAAGGAGACTGGACGAGGTACTGTCCTGCCTGCACTCGTCCCGCCCTGCCCGCCCTCTGCCTCACGTTGGCCTTGGCCACCCACGCCTCTACCAGACTCCTGTGGGAGAGGCAACAGCGGGAGCAAAGGGAACGGTGGGAGATGTGAGAGGAGGGAGAGTAGGAAGAGGGACCATCATAGGAGGGAGGTGGAAGGGGGGGACGTAGGACATTGGTGCAGAAGGATTTGGAAAGAAAGGAAGACAGGGGGAGCGGTGAGGAGGAGGAAGACTGGGGGGGGTATAAGATTATTTTAGAAAGCAGGTTCAAAATTGGCTTGTAACATTGTTTTCGGGTGGAGAGGACAGTCCCAGTACTTCATGCACTCACCCTCCTGGTGTCGAACTGTGTCTCCTTCTGCTTGCCCACGTCCACCACATACACCACATTTGGGTCCACAAGGTCAACACACGGCCCAATACCTGCCTCAGACATGCCTCAAGAGGTGCCTCATGCACTGCACGCACTCACCCTCCTGGCATCAAACTGCGTCTCCTTCTGCTTGCCCACGTCCACCACATACACCACATCGTCAATGGTGATACTCGTCTCCGCTATGTTGGTCGCCAGCACCACCTGAGGTGGGGAAGTGAGAAGAGGGAGGGAGGAGGAACGGTGGGACGGGTAGTGACCACACAAGTCGGGCATGGGCAGCACACAACCTCACGTCCACCACATACACCACATCGTCAATGGCGATACTCGTCTCTGCTATGTTGGTCGCCAGTACCACCTGGGGTCCATACTTTCGATGAAGGAACATAAAGCATCAGACTTACCTTGCGCACGCCACTGGGAGGGCTGTTGAATGCTGTTCGCTGCTCAGCAGCCGACACGGACGAGTGCAGAGGCAGCAGCCACTCCACCTTCCCCGGCGCCCCAAACTGCCTCGAGGCTGCCAGCCTGTCCCACAGGTACTGGATCTCGCCCATGCCCTGATGAGGGGTAGATAAATGTGATGTTTATACAGATGGGATTCGAAAGTGACCACGTGTGACCAAGTGTGACCAAGGATGGCTCCTGGGCCGCATGTGACGTCGGCACTCCACACTATGAGGGAACAGAACAACATTAGAGGAGCAACACTCGGAAGGCACTCACAGGGGAGGGAGCTCACAGGCAGAAAGACGAGGATGGCTCCTGGGCCGCATGTGGAGTCGATGTGAGCAACCACGTCCTCCAGTAGCTCGTAGTCTATCGTTCCCTCGTCCACCCGCCGCTGGTGTGGTGACAAAGAGGCATGGGGATGGGGACGAAGTGGAGATGAGGCATGGGGATGGCGTCAGAGCCGCATGTGGAGTCGATGTGAGCAACCACGTCCTCCAGTAGCTCGTAGTCTATCGTTCCCTCGTCCACCCGCCGCTGGTGTTGTTTTGTAGAGAGGGCGGGTGGTGGGGAGGGACACAGGGTGCGGAGTGTGAGTTGAGCATGGAGTGCATGGCAGGGAAAAGGAAAGAAAGTAGGGAGCAGGGATGGAAGCACGTGAGGTTCCTGAGAATTGAACCGATAGTAAATCCTATAATCAGCTCTACAGAAGCAGCTCTGTTTCTGAAAGCGCCTCAGAATCGGAAGCACGAGACCTTGCTGAGAATTGCACCAGAAATTCTTATTATCAGCTCTTCAGAAACAGGATCTGCTCACCAGATTTTTCCGGGTGCTGTCGCTGTAGTCGCTGTATCGCGAGGCATCGTAATCCGGATTCACTGTTTCAGCCTGCAGGGAAGCATCATCGCCCCATCCCGCCTTCAGCAGTTTCTGCTTGGTCTTGCTACCGCCTCCCGCTGCTGCCTTGGAGCCCTGTGGTGTGGGCGTGGGAGTGCGCGGGAGGGCGTGGCACAAGCAGGGCGCAACAAAGGGGTCTTCTGATGAGAATGCTCCTCTCCAATCAGATCGGATTGCATCGAACATCACCTCATCTCTACCAGGGGAGGCTCACCCTATCTAGACGATTTTTTAGGCGCCTCAAAATCTGCGAGAACTGAGTCGTTTCTTTAGGCACCTCAAAGATTGCATTAAACATCATCTCGTCTCTACCAGGGGAGGCTCACCCCTATCTAGCCTTCACACTGCACATGACAACTGTACCTTGGCTCGGGACTGATGGGATTCAGATCTGAGAGCAGCTGGTGAGTCCGAAGAAAGCTTGTACCCCGTGCTCTCATACACGTCCTCCAAATACTTCATCTCCACCAGGAAGGTGCGGCCCTGGGCTCACATTGCCTTGCAAAACAGGAAAGAACCAACCCTGTCTACCCTTGAGACTGCTCACACACACACGGTGACTGTATCTTGGCTCAGGACTGATGGGATTCAGAGAAGGAGAGCTTGTACCCCGTGCTCTCATATATGTCCTCCAAATACTTCATTTCCACAGGGAAGGTGCGCCCCTGGGCTTGCCTTGCCTTGCACACACAATGTATGTACCTTGGCTCGGGACTGATTGGATTCCGATCTGAGAGCAGCTGGAGAGTCAGAAGAGAGCTTGTACCCCGTGCTCTCATACACGTCTTCTAGATATTTCATCTCCACGGGGAAGGTGCGGCCCTGGGCTTGGATGACCGGGCACCCAGAGAAGTAGGAGGCGAAGAGAGAAGCATCCAGAGTGGCTGACCTGAAAATAGAAGAGAAGTGGAAGGGAGAAAGGAGGGAGAGACGGAGGGAGGGAGGAAAGAGAGGGAGATTGGCAATGGAGCTTGGTTGATGGGGCAGCCAGAGAAGTAGGAGGCGAACAGAGAAGCACGCAGAGTGGCTGACCTGCCTGCCTGCCTGCTTGGAACTCACATGAGAACCAGTTTGAAGGCGGGGAGGTGCGGCATTGTCGTCTCATCTGCTGGCGGCGGGCCAGTAGGTCTCTGAGGATGACGAGGAGGAAGTCCCCCTGGATGGAGGGAAGAGGGACCACCAGCACGCACGCACCAGCAGCCTACCCATCCACCAAACACTCACATGAGCACGAGCTTTAACGCAGGGAGGTGTGGCATCTGTCGTCTCATGTGTTGGCGGCGGGCCAGAAGGTCTCTGAGGATGACGAGGAGGAAGTCGCCCTGGATGGAGCGCTCATGCACCTCGTCCACCACCACGTGCGTCACGTCTGACAGCAGAGGGTCGCCAACTAGCCTCCGCAATAAGATTCCTGTGGTGCAGAAGAGGATGCGCGTATCCCATGTTCTGGGAAGAGAAAGGGGCAGAGAACGTAAAAGAGAAAGGATGCGCGTATCCCATGTTCTGGGAAGAGAAAGGGGCAGAGGAAGTAAAAGAGAAACAAGGAAAATGGCGGGCTCACACCGCTAGTATGCCATACCAATTCTTTACTCACAATGATTCACATGCGAGTGACCCCACTCACTTGACAGCGTCCAGCCGCACATGGTAACCAACCACGCCTGCAGGACCTCCTCCCCTGCTGCCACTCCCAACAGGCGGCTCACACCGCTCTGCTGCCACTCGCTCTGCCACCGATATGGCCTGGGAGGGGTGCAAGAGACGGGGAGAGAGGGTGAGGAGTGGGATGCGGGTGGAGTTGCAATGAAGGTCAAAGAATTGTGATGATACTTGAAGAATCACATAGAAAACCTTCACGAAGAAGGAAACCAAAGAAGTTTTTTTCTTGATTTCCCGGGAACCCTCATCAACTCACAGAAATTCGTCGAGGCTGCGTGCACACGATATTGCAGAACCCCACCTTCCCGGAAGCTTCCGCCTCTTCAAAAATATACTGCGGCACCTGGGTGGTCTTGCCTGACCCCGTCTCCCCACTCACCACCACCACATCCCCCTCCCTCAACGCCTGCACCACTTCCTCCCTCGCTCGTCTCCTTTGCCTCTCTATACCTTTCCTTCTATACATATGTATATATATAATATATATTATGTAAACATATACAATCTTATTGACTCACAGCAATTCGTCGAGGCTGCGTGCACACGATATTGCAGAACCCCGCCGTCCCGGAAGCTTCCGCCTCTTCAAAGATATACTGCGGCACCTGTGTGGTCTTGCCCGACCCGGTCTCCCCACTCACCACCACCACATCCCCCTCCCTCAACGCCTGCACCACCTCCTCCCTCACTGCTGCCATCGGCAGCTCTCCCCGCTTCCTCTTCATCCCCTGCATCGCCCTCCTCTCACTCGTTTCCATTGCCTCTCTGTTGGTTCCTCCTGTGCCTCCTGTTCCTCCTGCCCCGCCTGCCCCTACAACTGCCAGGGCCTGCCACTGGCGCCAACGCTGCTGCAGCTCCCAGCTCTGAGCCTCCCTCCTGCGCACCACGGTAGGGCCTGGGAGGAGGAGAGAGGGAGGGTGGGCGGGTGGGTGAGGGCGGAGGGGCGAGGTCAGGGGAAGAGGGACAGTGGCACCCCTCCAACTGCCACGACCTGCCACTGCCGCCACCGCTGCTGCAGCTCCCGGCTCTTTCCCTCCCTCCTGCGTACCACAGCCGGCCCTGGGAGGGGGACAACGGGAGAGAGGGGGGGGGGGGGGGGGGGAGAGGGAGAGGGAGGTTGAAAGCTCCATTCCTCCTCCGTGGTTTTGCCATCAGTGACCCATGGGCCACTGAGTTGACTTCTGAGCCATGACATGACTTCCAACCATTGTCATGACTCATGAACCATGGGCCACGGGCAATGAACCACGATTCGTGTCAAAACATTGTCATCAGACAATTCACTTTACTGAAGTTTTGAGAAGCTAAGATGGAAACAGACTCTCACTCACCTTCCTCTTGCCCAAGAAACGGGATTCTCTGCTTCTTCTGCCCTCCACCCGTTGCCTTCTCTTCGTCTGTAACAGCGAATGCACTCTTCTCAGCATCGCCACCACCAGAGAAAGCACCACCAGCACCAGTACACTCAGCAGCACCAGCAGGACCAGTACCAGAAGCAGCAGCGGCCTCCCTAGCCCGGATCTCACTATCCACGAGTGCTGCAGCGAACTTGACTTGGTGCTTCGCTGCTGCCTCTGCTGCTGCAGCGGCACTGCTGATGCTCATCTCTGCAGCATCTGGGGGGGGGAAATGGAGGCAGACACGGGAGAGTAGATGCAAGAGGAAACCACAAGGGAGAGAGAGTGAACTCAAGAATGGCCAGAAGGGCCACTGCATTGCGTGCCGTCACGTAAAGAAACAGATTGTGAGATGTCTCAAGATAAGTTTACCTGCTTTCTCTGCTAGCTCCAGCCACTGCTCTCTGTACCAGCTGATGGTGCAGCGGCACGTGGGGCCAGAAGAGCCACTGCGTTCTGAGCCTCTGACACACTCTCATACCCATCCTCTGCTACCTCGTATCACAGCTCACCTGCTTTCTCTGCTAGCTCCAGCCACTGCTCTCGGTAGGGAGAAACCAGCTGATGGTGCAGAGGCATGTGGGGCAGGAGGGCGTGCAAGGCCAGAAGAGCCACTGCGTTCTGAGCCTCTGACACACTCTCATACCCATCCTCGGCTGCTGGCACCTGGAATGTAATCGGCCCTACCCCCACCCCCTCTCCCTTTCCCCCTCCCGCTCCCCCTCTCCCCCCTCCTCCCCTCCCCCCCTGCCGTACCACAGTCACTGAGTAGCTAAACTTCCCTGCGCCGCTGCTTCCTGGAAGCTTCGTGTACTTGGGAGCGGGCCAGAGGGCTTTAAGGCAGTGCTGCTGCAGCAGAGCCTTGGGCTGCCTTTGCATGTCCGCAGCAGCAGCGTCCTTGCCTTTCTTATCCTTCCCTCCCGCCTTCCCTCCCCCCCTGCCACCTGCCAGCTGCAGCTGCTGCCACGCTCTTTCCCTCGCACTCTTCCGCTGCAGTGCTAGCACAGACTCGGGCAACGCTGCTGCTGCGCCCTTTCCCACTTCCCCTCCCCCTCCCCCGTCACTCTCATCGTCAAAGAGAGACATGCCTTCCAGCCCCATATCCTCCTCTTCTACCTCCTTTTCTGCTGGCTTTCCTGTTGCCCCTGCCCCTGCCCCTTCCCCCTCTCCACTTGCTGCTTTCCCTCCCCTTTCCAATGGCGCTTCCACATCTTCGTCCTCCTCCCCAAACAGCCCAAACCCTCCCTCCTCTTCCTCCTTCTCTGCCCCTCCAACAGCAATCTGCTGCTGGTTGGCCTCTTCGAGCATGGATTCAGAATAACCTGCACCACCAGTGTATAGGCACATACAGTGCAGACATACATGCAAACGTGCACAGCACAAGTTAGTGTATCTGCTGCTGGTGATGCTGCTGCCGCTGGTTAGCCTCTTCGAGAATGGATTCAGAATAACCTGCACTGCCAGCGTAAAGGAGCATTCAGAATGCTCAGTAGTGTAAACATGCACAGCGCATGTTAGTGTATCTGTTGGTGGTGGTGCTGCTGGTTAGCCTCTTCGAGTATGGACTCAGAATAACCCGCAATTAGAACGGATACACCTTGATGGCTTTTAAGGCGTCAAAGAAAGACCTCTTCCATGTATATCCCCAATATCCGCATTGCACATGCCATACCATATGCTGCAGCCTCCGCATTGATCTCTCGGATCACCAGCCCCGCCTCTGCATGCCTGCCCTTGTCCATGCTCCCTTTCTAGACGGCTTAGGAAAAGCAGAATCTATGCAAGGCAAGTCATGGGCCATACCGTATGCTGCAGCCTCCTCTTTGATCTCGCGGATCAGCAGCCCCGCCTCTGCCTGCCTGCCCTTGTCCATGCTCCCCTTCGCCCTTGCTGCCTCGGCCTTTGCCCTCCCCAGATCCATCGCCAACGACTGCATGCGCTGCTCTGCAGGGGCCTGGAGTGGGAAGCATGGCAGGATTTGGGCAGAAGCGGTTGGAGAGGGGGGATTATATGGGACAGGGAAGCCAGTGAATTCCTCTCCCCAAGTGACGCCAATGATTCAGATTCAGGGTTTTGGGTTCAAGTTCCAAAAAAAAAAGGTCCCCCACACGCAGAGGAGGGGGTTGGTGTGGAGGGTGGGCACCTGAGAGGTCACCTGAAGGTCGAAGCCATTACCTTTTTCCTGAGTTCCTTCCGGCGTCTTCTCTCCCTTGCATCAGCCCAAACCTGCAAACCGAGCAGAGAAGAACAGTGACACAACAGCATGAGATAAAACATACAGCGTGAGAGGCCAAGACAGGAAAACTTGCAAGCCGCACAAATACAGGTAAGAGCTTATATACACAGCAAGAGAGGACCCTTATCCAAGCCTCACCTCCCAAAGAGGAGACCCCTTGAGCAAGTCGCTTCCTGCAGTCAAACCTCCTGAGGCCCCCTTATCCGCTACCTTCTCCCAGTCATCCTCATCCTCTTCCTCCTCCCCCCTCCCTTCACCCTCACTCTCCTCCTCCTCACTCTCATATTCCGTCACATATCGCTTGATCCAATCCGCCTGCTTCTTCTTCCTCTCCTTCTCTCTCTCCTTCTCCTCTGCCTCCTCCTTCGCCTTCCTCTCTTCTTCCATCTTCCTGAATTTCTCAGCTTCTGCTGCTGAGGACCTTCCCCCACTTCCCCCTTCCTCATCTCCATCTTTTCCCCATGCGTCATCGCCGCCTCGCTGTCCTTCCCCTTCCACGTCAGCAGCAGCAAGCACAACCTCCACGTCACCTCGTGCCAGAGTGGCAGTGGCAGCTGCAGAGGCGAAATGATGCGGCAGCTGCTGAGGTGGCAGGTGCAGGCAAAGCCAATCAAAAGCCGCCTCCAGGGAAAGCGACGAGGGGACGAGAGACGAGAGGGAACTCTCCACCTGCTCTACAGTAAATCCCTCTCTAGAGAGTGTTTCGTACGCGGATAATATGCGCCTGTTCGCAGTCTTTTCTTCAAGTACTGTCATGGGACCAGCAGCGCTGTCTGTGGAATATGATGAGGCCGCAGGAGAAGCATCCAAGGTGCTGCTGCCGTTCGCACCTTTCTTGGTATCGTATGCCTGAATGAATTCGTCAAACCGCCACAACAAACAAAACACAAGAAAAATGGAAGTTTCAGACTTCTGCATTACAAAAACCGAAGAAATGGGCAAGGAGCATGGCAAAAGCACTGATCATGCATGGGTATAGCACTAAACCAAAGTAGCTGCAACTCTTTCCAGCCCTTGAATCATCTCCTCTCACCTTAACAACCAGCATTCGAAGCTGCTCTTCAGCCTCGGGACTCAACCGAACCTCCGTGGCTCGTTCGAACGCGTTCTTCCCCAACCCTCCACCAATGAGCGTCACCGACTTGGCACTCCCACCTCCTCCCTCCACTCTCGTAGGGCCAGCAGAGGAGACACCCGAAGGACCTCCCACTCCAACTCTCTTTGATGCGTCAGCCTTTCCGCCTGTTCCGCTGGGAGCAGGAGCTGACTGCTTTCCAGTACCTCCAGGCGCTCTCCCTTGCGCCACTCGCCCCCCCGCGCGTCCGCCTCCCCCGCCTCTTCCGCCAGCTGCTGCGGTTCTTCCCCTCCCCCGACCCCCTCCGCCTCCTTTCGGAGGCATCGCAACCGTAGCAGTAATTGCAAGGTATGAAGTCTTTGTCCTCAGGAATTCCAACGAATTGCGATCGGATTGGCAAAGGAGCTCGTGGACTAAGAAGGTCCGATAAAACCCTGTTTGACTTGGAAAATGAATGTGTGACCAATGGTAAGGTTGATGCGACAAGAGGGATCCTGAGTGCGTATTAGACCAACACAGGAGATTCGGAGATTCTGGAGAGGAATGCAATGAGAGGCTACCGGAGCTGCGAGGTAGATCCTACGCTGACTCGCAGAAGCTTAACTCTAAGAATCGAGGACCTTGCTAGACCCTGTAATTGGTCGCTTGCAGCTCTCTGGACAAGGAAAGAAAATGCTGAAAAACGCTTTAGATGCTAAGATGAGAAGCCAAGTAGAAAATCATCTGAGATATGTATGATTTGTTATTGATACAGCCGCGAATGACACTTGTTCCTTGGCCTTGTCTTCGAGAATTCCCTGGTCAGAGACTTGCAATTCATTAATTCGTCCAGTGCACTGCTCTGATTTCTGACAAGATGAAGAGATTCATGATGGTGAGTGATGTCAAATCCTGAGAACCTGGTTCGTGAACTCACGATACCGAAACGTAAAGGTTTCAGACGTTGGATATCGTGAAGAAACGCACTGTACCGTTCTGTCAAAACCTGACATGCAGTCAGATGCACCCGTGAGAATGAGTTGCAATGAGAATGAATGAGAAGGTTGTGTGTGTGTGTGTGTGTTTTTTTTTTTTTTTTTTTTTTTTTTTTTTTTTTTTTGGTAGGTGAAATATGCACTATACACGTACAATGCAAAAACACCACGGTCGTAACCGGTGCTAGAGGGCATAGGTAGTGTATACTACCGTACCCTCCCAGATCTCTACGGAGGCTTATAGACCAAACGCCTAAACATTTCAGCTTGCCCGCCACAAAAACCTATTGTGCCGTTGTCACACTTCAGTACTTGCAGAAGCATCACGATACATCCCTCATGTTGGTTTTGTCGCTTCAGCTTTGGTGGCTTGGCTCCTCCGAACCTGCCTTCCCTGGTCTGGTGAGGTTGGTTTGCAACAGAAGCAGCTCTGGGTCGCTGCTGCTGAACAGGGCCTTGGTGACGAATGTGACGCTTCAGCCTTGGTCGATTGGCTCTGACCTTGCCTTGCTGAGATTGGTGGAGTTGGGTTACAGCAGAAATTGCCCTGCTTAGAAGTTGATGCCTGACAGGGCCTTGGGGACGACGAATGTTTCCAATCACACTTGCAGTCGTTCGAGCTTGTGTGAGCGGTGTGATAGGAGCAGCTGAGAGCAAAACACCTTCAGAGGGAAAAACACCTCGAGTAGCTTGCCTTGATTCATGGCGCCGAAACACTCTGACGGCGTCATCTATTTCCTCCAAATGAAAATATGCTTCTTGTAACGTAGGGAAAATTCCAGAATCGACTTCTGTCTTCCTGTTCTTCAGAATCTTAAAGTCGGAATAACCTTCTTCACACATTCCAGTAGGAAAATAGTCAACGTCTTGAAATACTCTAGGAGCCGTGCCAAAATTTCGTGAAACGTCCCGTTCCGCCGACGTCATAAATTCAATCTGATGGAAAATTGGCTCTGGTCCATCCTTGATCGTTCCTGCTAGTGATTGAGGTGGTCTCCGCACTTGACTATGAGCTTCCTCTCTCTTTGGTAGACGATGAATCGCAGCAAAGGCAGATAAACGAAATATGTTCCGTTGTCCAGCCTCCTTGTACTTGCACTTTCCGCTTCTTTGTCTTGAACCTGTCTTGTTTTCACGGTGCCATCTTAAAACCGGGGTGCACATTCAGCTGAATGTGCATCAAAGGTTATCCCTTGACTGAGTGGGTTACGAGGTGTGCTTTCAACCCCTTCGAGTCGAAATTCGTTTCCCCCCTCCCCCGCAATTTCGTTTCCCCACGCCCCCGCAATTTCATTTCCCCCTCCCCGTCGAAATTCGTTTCCCCCCTCCCCCGCAATTTTGTTTCCCCCCTCCCCCGCAATTTCGTTTCCCCCCCCTCCCGCCAATCTGTTTCATCCCTCCCGCCATTCGGTTTCACCCACACTTGCCATTTCACCCCCTCCCGCCACCTACGAAATGCCCGAAGCTCTAGCGGAATCATTTTTTTGTCGCCCCTCGTGAGCCAATCACTGTTTTTCTCCAAACCCCCTTCCCAACATCTCAAGCCGAACCGCGTTGAATGTGCACCCTGGTTTTAAGCGACGGTTTGACCCGACCATTTTAACTTCCTTAGAGTAACTTGAATGTCTTGAGCTTAAAAACAGTTTCTTAAAACCAGGGTGCACATTCAATTGGATTTCTGTCAAAGGTTAACCTTTGACCTCGGGGTTACTCAGTGATTTAGGAATATCTGGGGGGAGTGTTCGCTTCAGCAGGTGAACATTTGAACCCTCGAGATTTGGCAAATGTATACCGAAGTCATCGAATGTGCTTCCGCCAATTCGTTTCCCCCCTCCCCATACCTATTCCGCTCCCACCGAAATTGTTTCCCCTTCCCCCACAATATCGTCTCACCCCCTTCCCCTTTCCGCCAACCCAGTTGCCCTCCCCTTGATCCCCAATTTCTAGATCCAAGTGTTATCAATTTCTCCCCTGCCAAGCCTCATCTCTCACGGACGAAAAGCCCCATGCTCGCCCATTCTCAACTATTTATTCGCTACTCGTCAACCAATCAGCAGTTCCCGCAAACATGCCGCCCAAAATTTAGCCTGGAGTCGCGTTGAATGTGTACCCTGGTTTTAACCTGAAAAACAGAGATCTTCATAGAAGCAGTTACAACTAACCGATGTTCGCTCTGTGAACACAATGTTGGCGTCATAAACAAGCTCTTGATGAGTAGATCCCGGATCTGTATTCAGATGGTCGAACTGATAGAGCTAAGCATGACATTGAGTAAGTTGAAGTTCTCAGAAGGGGCCATGGCGGAGAGCTCTGCGTGGTGATTGAGCTCTGCACGTCAATGTCGATTCAACGTCAATGTCAAGGTTGTGTTTTTGAGTATTGGTAACGTACAACAGCACTCAGCTCTGACAGCCCTGTCGGTGATCAAATTCAGGCAGCCACAGCCCGCGAACGAAGAAGTTCTGTAACTTTGGCGACACCCAATCACCCAACCAAGGGAATGACGAGCTTGACTCACATGGAAACCATCTTTTCGCGTCTGCCGAAGGCACAGAAATGTTTCCCGACATCCGCGAAACAATTCCACCAACACCATATGCCTTGTACGGTATCTCGAGCAAGTCCCAAATCATCCAGGGAACGCGGGAAATTCTAGAATGCCAACTTCCTTCTTCTCGCTGGCATTAGATGCATCCTGACGCTGGCATTCCCTATGCTGCTGCTATTCACGATCCTTCTAATCCCAACGCCCGTATTCCTCTGATAGTGCTCCCTAGGGACCAGCACAGTAGCACATACTAAGCGTCTTCGTAGTAAAAGATCCTTCACTGAAGCGCGCACACACGCACGTGGTTTCCGACCATCATCATGTCCGGGCCATTCTAGGCCGCACACACACATTCTCCGTTTACCCTAGTTAATCTGAACCACATTTTCCTCAACGATCGCTCTACATCTTCGTTCCAATCAAGATGAATCCAAATCCTTACTACTTGCTGTTGCTCGTCCTTCTCTTCTCGATCCTTGCCTCGCTAAAGGCGGATCCGCTAGCGTCACTGAGGTCCTACTCTTCCCGTTCGACCAATGTAGCTGCACTGGTGGGACCCACATTACGGAAACTTCTGGATCTGCATGAAAGTACTCCCTCATCCTCATCCTCCTCTTCTATCGACCATCCGGATTTCGTCAGCAACGGGAACCAACCGCGATCACTCAAGACAGCCACGTCAGGACCCACATTGCGGAGCCTCCTCTTTTTGCGTGGAAATATCTTCAACCAGGCCTTCGGTCAATCAGCAACCGACACTCTGTCCACCAGCAGGGTCGGTACAGCGGATGGTGATGTTAACGGTGGTGCTGCTAGCGGTGGCGGTGTTAACGGTGGTGCTGCTAACGGTGGTGCTGCTAATGGTGGTGCTGTTGCTGCTGGTGCTGATACTGTCGAAGGTGACACTAAAGGGGGCAGGAGTGACGGGGTCAGGGATCAACCTGACAATGCTTCAGAGGGCAGAACGGCGGAGGTGGTGGAGGAGGAAGAGGAGGGGGAGGGGGGGGGGGGATGCAGGTGGAGACAAGAAAGAGGCGGAAGACGACGAACCCAACACTGGGGAAGGGGTAGAGCAGGGCGGAGGAGATGGGGGCGAGAGAGAGGCGGAAGAGGAAGCAGGCGAACAAAGCTCAGCAGAGGAATCAGAGGAGGAAGAGAAACCTACACCTCTGGCTGACACTCCCGAAAAGCTGGACCAGTGGTTCAAATCTTGGCGGGAAAACACCAGCGCTGTTCTACCTCCAGGCTTTAAGGACGCCTCTTCTATGGAGGTTGTGGAGATAGACGATTGGCCGCCCGTACCCGTGCCTTCGCCGAACCTAGGGGTGGAGGTTCGGGTGGATCCGAGCCTGGATCCGAACGCCTGGCGCCCGTATCACGTTAAGGGAATGCCGCGTATAATCACAGTGTTTTCTGCAGAATGCTCTTCTTATATGGACTGGCAGTCAGTAGCCATGGCTTACAGCTTCAAACGGTCAGGCCAGCCAGGGAAGCTCGTGCGGCTTCTGGCTTGTAACGAGGATGCTCTTAAGGGGTACAGAGGCTTGGACATTGCTCCAACAATGGTGGTCCCTAATTGGAGCCGCAGCCCTCGCACTGGTGACTGGTATCCTGCGATTAATAAACCAGTGGGGGTGAAATACTGGCTGGACAACAGTCCTGACGCGAATGACGTCGAGTGGGTGCTTATAATGGACGCGGATCAGCTTATAAGGAGGCCGGTGCTGCCCTGGGAGCTGGGGGCGGAGCGAGGCCACCCAGTGTCAGCGAATTACGGGTGAGAGTAGGTAACCGTGTTACATGTTGAATGTGAGACACTGCAAGATCTTCTCATCGCTCCTCCTGTGGCTCCCCTTGACTCCTCTTGACTTCTCTTGACTCCTGTTGACTCCTCTTGGCTCCACTTGGCTATTCTCTAGGCTCCTGATGTGCTCTGCTTTTACGTATCCCTGCTTAATTCCTCCTAACCTTCCTCTTTGCCCATCCCTCCTCCCTCTTCGATCGACCCTCCATTCTCCTCCTTCCCTCCTCCCTTCCCTCCTCCTTCTCTCTTCCCTTCCCTCTCTCCTTCCCTCTCCCCCTCACCAGCTACCTCAAAGGGTGTGACAACAGCTTCGGCGAGCTGCACATGAAAAACGCCACATATTGTGACAAGGTAAGCTCCTTTTTCCCTCCTCCTCCCTCTCTTCCCCTCCTCCTTCCTACACACAAATGCACGCACGCACATTCTTCCTCTCGCACTTTTCTCTCTCTGTACCACAACCCAACCACACCCGTGCGCAGGTGGGGGACTTCATTGTGATTCACGTGGAGGACTTGCGGCGCCTGGTGCCCATCTGGAGCGCCTAAGGAGTGCCATTTCCTCTCTTGTTCCCTCACTCTCTCCCTCCACATTCGACCGCATGCAACCACACCCAACCACTCCCAACCGCGCATAGGTGGGGGGCTACATTGTGATTCACGTGGAGGACTTGCGGCGTCTGGCGCCCCTCTGGAGCGCCAAGAGCGAGGAGGTGCGGGCAGACGTGGAGCACTACACCATCAACGCCACGGGGGACGTTCACGGTCAGAGGTGGATCAGCGAGATGTATGGCTACTCCTTTGGATCATCTGATGTGAGTGCCACTGCATGTAGATCTGTTTGGATTACCTAGATTAGAGGTGGAATGGTGTGCAGCCACTGCCACGGGTTACATTCACGGGCAGAGGTGGATCAGCGAGATGTACGGCTACTCCTGTGGCTCCTCCGATGTGAGTCGCAACCCTTGATGCGAGCACCCTTTGATGCGAGTGCCTCCGCGTGTAGAGCTCTTTGGCTGACCCAGTTCAGAGGTGGATTGGTGTGCAGCCATTGCCACGAGGGAGATTCGCGGGCAGAGGCAGTTGACCAAGATGTGCGACTACTCCTTCGGATCATCTCTACCATCTCTATTATCATCCCTATGAGTGGTATGAACTCACCAATCCACTCCACTGTGTCTCCCCGCCCCCTTTTCCCTTTCCCAGGTGGGTCTAAAGCACATCATGATAGACAGTGCTATGCTTTACCCAGGCTACGACCCTCCTAAAGGGGTCGATCCTAGAATGATCCACTACGGTTTAGAGCTCAAGGTGTTAGATTGGCAATGGGACAAATCGGCCTACTATCGCCAGGACATGGTCAACACCTGCGGGCAGCATTTCCCCGACCCGCCGGAAATTTACGCGCTGCCCGGGAACCAGACGTATGAGGAACGGCGGCGGGATTTCATTGTGATTGAGTGTATGGCGGTGCTGAATCGGGCTTTAAGGGAGTTTCACAGGCTGAAGAGGGGGTGTCTGGTAGAGTGGGAGAGGGATGTGGGGATAATGGATTTGGGTGGGGCCTCACCAACAGTAATGGGTGAGTTGAGGGCTGATGTATGGGCTAGGGAGAGAGGGAGCGAGAAGGAGAGCGAGGGAGGGGGTGAGGGAGGGAGTGGAGGAGTGAGTGAAAATGGGGTTGAGGGTGGGAGTGCGAGTGGGGGTGGGAAAGAAGGGATTGCGGTGAAAGGAGGGGCTAGAAGGGGGATTAGAGTGCAGGGTGACTATATTGTGGATGTGACTGAAATGAAGGAACGAGCTGGGCTGGAAAGAGGATTTCTAGTGGTGAGAGAACCGAGAGAGGGAGCTCGGAAAAGGAAAGGAGTGAGAGGTGGTGCTGGGGAGGAGGGGAATATTCCTTCCGACGAAGACAGTGTTGCTTATGCTGATTCAGCCACAAACGAGGGTGGAAGTGGGGATGGGGAGGAAGGGGATGGAGAAGGAGAGGGAGACAGCAAAGGAGAGGGAGAGGAGGCGGAAGAGCAAGATAAACCAGGAGAGGGGGAGGGTAGGGAGGGGGCAGGTGTAGTTGTTAATGGTAGTACTTTGGGGATCGTTAATCACGGTAACCATGCAGGTATGAACCAAGGGAATGAGTGGAGGCGCTTTTTACAAGGCTATGGCTACAGGGCAGGTGGTCCTGGTGGTGGGGGTTCGAGGGCGGTGGCAGCAGGGGTGTGGGTGTGGATGCATGAAGACCAGAGGTGGATGTACGTGGGGTGGTTTGCAGGTATGGTGTTACTGTTCATGGGTGTAACACTGCGGAATAAGAGGAAGCGGAGGGGTGCAAGGTTAACCAAAAATAATGCGTCAAGTGGGGACGATAGGGAGGGCAACGTGAGGAAACCAAAACGCGGTGCTGGTGGACTATCAAAGGATGTGCTTGTCTAATGGAGAATGGTTTGTAAATTGCTTGATGGACAATAAAAAGCAATGAATATTCATACAATATTGGTAAAAAACATACAATATTCATTGCTTTTTTATTGACACTGGTAAAATTCACACAACACGTTTTGCCCACCACTTCCATACCGGTAACCATTGCTTGCACAGCTTGTGTGTGTGTGTATGTGTGTGTGTGTATGTGTGTGTGTGTGTGTGTGTGTGTGTGTGTGTGTGTTTTTTTTTTTTTTTTTTTTTTTTTTTTTTTTTTTTTTTTTTTTTTTTTTTTATGTTATTACATTATCAAACGTTGATACATTCACTGTCATAACTGTAGCCTTGGAGGGCACATGCCTCGTTAAGGGAACGACGCATATCCCCCCTAACGCATCTACGGTGGTTGATGGAACGTGCGCAGATTGCGCCATATGGATAGGAAGTGAGCCGTCCACTTGGTTGGCCCCTCCGCCATGCAGATACCCTGAAATTGAGCCCTCTCGTCAGCCGCCACCTGGCTCCACCGATCAGATTTCCACCCATCAACATTCCCCTTTCTCGCCGACACCCTCACCCTCGATGCCAGCACCACTCTCGCATGCGTGATGAAATCCAGCACAGCACAGCGCCCCACCTTCTTCCGTTTGAAACCAACGGCACGCCATGCAGCATCACACCTCGCCAGCCACACCTGGCGCAGCACTATTGCAATCAGCGTCATCTCCAGGAGAAGCCCGTCTCCGTGTCCACCCCCCCCATCAAACAGCAGGTCCCCTAATGAGTTCATGGGTCTGCCCGGATTCAACAGTTGCAGCGACCTCTTGAGCGCGCCGATTACCGGTTGTATGACCGGGCAGCTGAACAGACAGTGGGCGAGGGTTTCCTCTCCCCCGCAGTGTGCACAACATATCCGATTCTTGAAAAACTCCAGCCTCCCCCCCACCTGGAGGTTCATACTGTGGACCCTGAGGATGACATCCCTCGCCTTGTGAGGGACACACACAGAATCTCGAACTGTAATAGCCCTCTTCCAGTCTATCGCCTTTCCCCACTCCGTCTCCCACTCAGCCTGCCTCCATGAGCGCCCCGTTTCTTTCGTTAGTGCGGCTCGAACCTGACTCAGCGGGACCAGTAAGCCCCCAACAAACAGCCCAGTCTTAGTCAGCAGCTTCGTCTTCGGGTCGCCCACCGGCCCCACTAATTTGTTCTCCCGTACCACCACCGGCAGTACCCTACACGCCTCAAAGCACCCCTTAATAGGCCTCGCCATGGCCTCCAGCAGCCCCTCTTTGCCAAGAGACATTAGCACTCCTTCGACTTTGCTCCCATCCACCCCCTTCACTTCCCACGGGTTGATGGTCGGTATCCCCTGGTTTATATACTTCACAAACTTCGAAGCATCTTGCACTGCCTTCGCTGTTACCGGTTCCTCCACCAACACCTTCCACTCAGGCGGGATGGCCTGTCAAATTAGGCTCATAACTCACTGCTTAGTTACCTAGGGTTTTGGCTAGGAAACGTGAGTATGGCGAGGAAGGTTTGGCAAAAGAGGATGATTGATTAGAAAGGAAGGTACAAGTAGGAGAAAGGGTGGGCAAGATGGTGCACCACCAACAATAACAGTAACACTACACAGTAGCTATACTAGCAGGCAGTTATAAGAAATTTACAATTTCTAACACACCCCCTAACTGCCTGCAATAAAAGCCACGTGCAGAGACACCAGATCAGAGTAGCACAGTAGGTGTACGGTGGCAGAGGCACCGGTGGCAGGTGCAGCGGTGGTAGGTAGACTTCACTCCCGCCACCCCCTCACCCTCCTCCCCCACTGCAGTAGGTGTGGCAGTAGGAGGCGGCTGTTGCTGTAACACGGGGAGGCGGCTGCTGCTGAAACGCGGGGAAGCGGCTGCTGCTGAAACACGGGGAGGCGGCTGCTGCTGAAACACGGGGAGGCGGCTGCTGCTGAAACACGTCCGCCATCCCCTCACCCTCCCCCCACAGCAGCAGGCGCAGCCGTGAGAGAGGAGGAGGCGTGGCGGCAGCTGCTGCTGCTGAAACACATCCGCCACCCCCTCACACCCTCTCCCCCCTCCCCCCCCCCCCTCAAACTGCTGCACGCGGAGCAGGGAGATGGAGGAGAAGGGGGGGGGGGGGGGGGGGGGGAGCGGGGTATGAGCTGCGCGTGCGACTGCAGGGCGCGCGGGCAGGCAGAAACCGTCGCGCGCTCGAGGTGCGCGACGGGCAGGAACCGACGGGCAGCCGGGGCGCGCATTGGGCAGAAACCGACGCGCAGCTGGGGTGCGCATCGGGCAGAAACCGACGGGGCGGGCATCGGGCAGGCGCGCGACGGACAGGAACCGACGCTCGCCCTGGGAGCGCGACGGGCAGCTTGACGGACTGCGCCATAGCGGAAGCTAATGGTGGGCCCAAAGATGAAGGCTCTAGGAACGAGCATGCTCTAAATACCATGTCAAATTAGGCGCATAACTCACTGCTTAGTTACCTAGGGTTTTGGCTAGGAATCGTGAGTATGGCGAGGAAGGTTTGGCAAAAGAGGATGATTGATTAGAAAGGAAGGTACAAGTAGGAGAAAGGGTGGGCAAGATGGTGCACCACCAACAATAACAGTAACACTACACAGTAGCTACACTAGCAGGCAGTTATAAGAAATTTACAATTTCTAACATGGCCATGTACGCCTTAACCGCCATAGAGGCCGCTTCCTCACTCCCGAACTCCAACTCCAACTCGAAAACCTCCTTCAGGGCTCTCCCCCCCCCCGGTTTGTCTGTGAGCAGGTCTTTTATCTTCAGATTTAGCAGATCCTCCGTTCCTTTTTGCAGCCCAAACGGGCTCTCCCCCCGATGCATAATCCTCCGATTAAAACAAACCAGTTCATCCTCCACTTCCCACCTGTTCCTAGGTTCCGGCATCGACGCGAACGGAGACTTCCAGAATACTTTCATCGCCGCTTTCCACCTTTCACTTCCTTGTGCCCAACGCTTCTCTGCTGCAAGATGAGCGAACAATGTGGCCAAGCCTTGTGGGAAGCCCGCCGCCCTCTCTGCCAACCAACGACGTGTACCTTCTGGCTCACTCAGCAACTTCCCGATCCTGCGAATTGCCAACCCATCGAGGCAGAGCTTCGGGTCCAGCTGACCCAGTCCTCCATCTTTCCTCGGGAGGCGGGCCAGATACGCACTCCACAAGATAAAACGTTTCTCCTCTGACGCCTCCCCCCCGGAAACGAAGGTGTGATACAACTTCCTGATCTTCTCCCACAACTGGTCAGGCGGCGAATATACCTGAGCCTGGAACATCATCACCGGTAAGACGTAACAGCTGACCACCGCCACTCTGGCTGTTGTAGTCAGATATTGCGTCTCCCACTTGCCTAACTCCTCCCGTATCCTCTCGTACGTTTTCTCCC